TAATTTTAAAAATTATTTTAAGTTGTTAATTGTTGAGATTTGAAGTAATTTTAACGGAATTTGTAAATATATAAATTATTGGAAATGTCTTTACTCTTTATGTCCCAATTTATGTGGCATATATCAAATTTTGGAGAGTCAATTTTTTTTTTCCTTGAGAGTAATTTTTTATATGTTTTAATTTTTTTTAAGTTGTTAATTATTGTAATTTATAATAGTTTTTACATAATTCTTAAATATATAAATTATTGAAAATTTCTTTATAATAATTTATTACTTAAATGACAAAAATGCCCTTTCATCCACTATATTTCCAAGAAACACATGCCAAGGGTCGGCGAAAAGACGTGTGCTTCTGACCATTTTTACTATTTCCACTAAGAGAATTTAAAATATGATTAGAAGTAAACACACGAAAAAGTCTGAGACTAAGCAACGCTTGACAAATAAGCCTGAGATTAACTTCCACGATCCAATATACATATTTTGTGATATCATTACTAACATGATTTATTTTGTATATTTGACTAGCAAATGTAATTATTTTTAGTTGATTGACCAAATATGACCATAAATAATAATATATGAAGATATTTACTATCATTATAAGATTACATTTGTATTTTTTTTCCTTTTACGTTTTAACACTTAAAATAGTGAAGATTTTATTGAGATTGACTACAAGAAGCAAATAAAATTAAAACTAAAATTAGTTGAATCGATAAAAGGAACAAAAAGGATGTGTTGAGATGAATGAGATACTTTTATCTACAACCAGAAATTTCGAATTGGAGCCCTGAGAAAGGTAAACCAATTCCTACAAGAATTATTTTCATCCCTGAGATTCGAACCCGAGACTTCTGGTTAGAGATAGAGGGATCATATCCATCTCATCACAATCCTTTGTGATGACTTAGACATCATTATAAATTTATAATGGATGTATTGACATTTTTTTCTTTTTTTAAATGGGGGGGGGGGGGTAGGGGGTAGGGGGTAGGGGGTAGGGGCAGGGGAAATAAGAAAGGGGATTGCAAGAATCAAACTCTCATTGACAAAATAATAATTCAGGTAATCAACTAACTCAGAACTTCATGTGTTGATATATCTTGAGTTAAGATTAAGGAAACTTATCATTAAATTTCATTACAGTATTGGAGTCAAAATTTTCATTAAGAAAATTTAAAATATGATAAGAAGTAAACACACAAAGAAGCTTGAAACTAAGCAACAACCCGACGATTAAGCCTGAGACTAACTTCCATGATTCAATATACATACCTTATGGTATTATTACTAACATGAGTCTTTTTATTTTTTGTATATTTGACTAACAAATATAATTGTTTTTAATCGGTTTGACCAAATATGCCCATAAATAATAGTATATGAAGATATTTACTATCATTGAAAGATTACATTCGTATCTTTTTTTTTTTTTTTTTTTTTTAACGTTTTATCACTTAAAATAGTGAATATTTTATTGAGATTGACTACAATAAGCAAATAACATTGAGCATCTTAGTATTAAGCACGTAAACCTAGAGACTAGAGACATTGAATTGGTCAAAAGTAAACGTCTAAAGGAACAAAAAGGATATGTCGGGATAGATGAGATACATGTATCTACAACTAGAAATTTTGAATTCAAGCCCCAAGGAAGGTAACCAATTCCTATAAGAATTATTTCCATCACTGAGACTCGAACCCGAAATCTTTGGTTAAAGATAGAGACATCTTATCCATCTCGCCGCAATTCTTGGTGTTGACTTAGACATCATTATAAATTTATAATAGATGTATTGACATTTTTTATTTCTTAAATTGGGGGTAGGGACAAGGGAAATAGGAAAGGGGATTACAAGAATCAAACTATCCTAACAAAAATAAAAATTCAGATAATCAACTAAGAACTTCCAAATATATTGACATATCATCATAGTGTTGTTTCCCTTAAAATTAAAGAGTGACTAGTCAAATGTACAAAGGATTAGTGCATCAAATTAGGTTTCTTATAAACCACATTACATTCTTTTTATTTTTGTATAATTTGATATTCAAAATATATAATAATCACAAGAAGTATGAACCGTTTAGTGTTTTTAAGTGTACATCAACAACAAAGGACCCATTAATGACATATTAGACAAAGACTCACTATACTTGATAAAATTAAGAGGTACTTAAGGAAACTTCTGAGATATAATGAGCCATTAAAAAAATAATTAATCTTTAGTTTGCAATTGGTAAAACATAAAAGAAAATTCTACAAAAGTTGTGTTTCAACCTTTGTTATTTCACTTTTTAAAACTATGTTAACATCAAGAATCTTTTCTAGTATTGCAAGTTCTACAAGAAACCTAGTCACACAACAAAGAAAGTTTTACATTTCATTAGAAATTATCTACCATTACAGTAGAGTGGTAAGTACTAAGTGGTTTCAGGTTTGAGTTCCGACGACTGAGTATTGATAGCTTTTGATAGAGAATATTTTACACATGCATCTGAATTAGTTAGATTCTAAAGTCGGTACTGGATACCAAATAAAAAATTAAAAATGAAGCTTAATCTATCATTATCGTTATGAAAAATTATATAATTTTCTAGTAATAGTTAATAATAACATCAAAGTAATACATTGTTGTTATTGCAAAGTCCTATTCTTATGATCACTAGGGAGATTGTGATTTGTGAGCATCCATTCAATGAATACAACTCAACAATGAAAGTAAGAATCATGTCATTATTAAGAATAAAAGGAGAAGTTTAGTAATTTTGGTATGAAGAATAATATTTTCCTAAAAAAAAGGGGTTGCTTATTTATATTTTATAAGTCTTAGGTGTAAAATATTATTTTAAGGACATTTATATATAATTTCAGTGAAAATTATGGGGGATGAAGTGTGGAGATAGGCAAGAGACAATCAACATGGAAAATCACTTATTGATTTTGTTTTTCCTTCTCTCTCAAGGAATTAATTTTCATATTTTCAAAAACTTATTTTCTTAGAAAAAGTATTTTGAATTGACCAACTAAAAGTGATAAATCAAAAAATATCTTCTGCAATAATAGAAAATGTTTTCCTCCACACTCTTTAAGAGTTAAAGTTAGATTATGTTTTTCGTCCAATTCGAAGGTTTCCCATATTACAATAATTCCGAATTTTTTGTGGATACATTGCTCTTTAGCCAGATATATAACAAACAATACATAAATTACGTATCAGATATATAACTATAAACCAGATTCACACTTAATTAGGTTTGGAATTATTAGAGTTATGTCGTATCAACAATAATATTGTTACCAAATATATTCCACACAAATAAAGTTGTAAATATGTATCTGATAGAGGTGGAGTGATGTATCTAAAAGTTAAGAGAGAAGGAAAAATAAGATTTTTGTAATTAATTTAAATGGTAGGAATTCTTGTAGATTATGTTATATTTTAAGTCGTGTAATTACATAATTTTCATATAATCAAATATAGTGTCACACGAATTGAAACAAATATATAAAAAATATTTGTTAGGGTTTGGCTTCTTATATGAAAGTCATTTATTTAGTAACTTTCATTAGTTGTTTCCTAAAGTTTGGACTTGATTTTTGGCTTTGACCAATTAAAATTTTTGACTGTTGAAATTAGAAAAGAGGGAGAGAAAAGTAAGAGGAATATTTATGCATATCGAAAAGTCACGCAGAACTAGTTGAACAAAAAAAAATTATATATTCAAATAAACTATTTATGCATATTGAATAATTTTTTTAATATAATTATGTAATCTAAGATAAAGTTATTGGATAATGTCTAATTCATAATTTATATAGTAGCTCCACCTTTGATCGGAACAAGAACGAATGTAGTTGAGGACAGAGTTTAAAGGGGTTGAACAATAACATATCTATTGCTATTTTACAAGTAGAGTTTAGAGTAGGTGATATCTGCGCACACCCTTTTTTTTTTTTTTTTGATAGAGAAATATTTTTTGATAAATCTTCAAATCAAGTATATTTGAATATGAAATATGTGTTACAAGTTATTAGAATTCCATATTTGTCTATGAAGAGATGATCTAAATATATATGTTAGTATATCTATATATAATAAATTAATTTCTTTTGTGTAATACTGATATTATTAAACTAATAGATATGATGAAGTCATAACTTTAACATTAGTATAGTAGGTTTAATGTTAGAGATTTTATATTTTTGAATCCGCTTTTATCATTAATTACTCTATATTTGAAAGACACATAAACATGAAAATTAAATAGTTGAAAATTCTTCTTAGTATCGACACTGGTTAAAGTTAACCCCAAGTCCCTAACCTTTGTAGGTGAATTTATTATTAAAAGAACAATAGAAATAAATGATCGTCAACCAAAATAAATATCCAATAAATATATATATTTCGTAAGATGTCATGTAGGTAAACTTATTATTAAAAGAACAATTGAAATAAATAATCGTCAATCAAAATAATATCCAATAAATATATATTTCGTAAATTATTTTATATATATATATATATATATATATATATATATATATATATATATATTATATATATTATTATTATTATTATTATTATTATTATTATTAGAGTATAATATATTTATTTTTAGTCAAGTCTCCCTCTATCTATATAAAATTCAAGTCATGTCCAACTAATCAAAGATTCAATTAAAAGGCTTCTTTTTGTCAAGATGAAAGACAAATTGAAATAACTAACCGTCTACCAATAATATCCTAACAAATATAAATTTTATATATTAATATATAATATACATATAATATATATATTTTTGATACATAATAGTATATTTGTTTTTAGTCAAGTCTCCCCTCTCTCTATATAAAAACCTTAAGTCATGTCCAGCTAATCAAAGATTCAAAGTTTCTTTTTCTCAAGATGAGAAAGAAAACAGGAAAACCCATTATTTTCTCATCAATTTCATTCTCTTTTTTCTTGCTATGTTTAGTTATATTTTTCTCCATGAAAATGGCTATGGCACAAAACAAATCATCAATAGTTTCCATAAATGTAGGAGTTGTGTTGGACATGGATGAATGGTTTGGAAAAATGGGTTTGAGTTGTATATCTATGGCTTTATCGGACTTTTATAGCATTGATGGCTCTAATTATAAGACTAGGTTGGTTCTCCATACTCGTGACTCGAAGAAAGATGTTGTTGGTGCTGCTGCAGCAGGTACGTATATATGTATTGATAATATGAAAAAAAAAATTGTTACCTTGCAGTAAATTGTGACACTATTTTTCATATCATCGTTTATATAAAAAGTTATCTATTATTGTCGATCAATTTAACCTAATAGTAATAAAATTCACCATAGTGAACTAAAGATAAACTCAAATATCAATTATGACTTTATCATCCATGACCCTAAATCTCTCTTTTTCTTTTGGAAATACTATAAATATAAAAAAGAATATGAGTTACATCAATATTTAAGAATATTATCTATAAATGTCTAAAAGTGGAATCACATAAATTTGGTTGTATATATATGTTTGCATACGTGTGTAAAGCCATGATAATATGAAAACTATTAATGTCAATCATGGTGAAGCTAGAAATTTTGGTAGGAGTGTTTAAAATTTTATCTATCTTTAAAAAGTTATTCCTGACCTGTATACACAATATTATTGTCTCTATGCACAATATTATTTTTTGACAAATAATATTCAAATGACCACTCTTGGATCAATTTTAGCTATGCCGCTGATGTTAATAGATAGGGTCATGATTCAATCCGTTCAAAATTGATTAGGTTAATTAAGATGAGTCAAATTGTGATTCAAAGTAAAACTAAAATTTGACGTATCCTAAATAATTAAACTCATTTTCTATATATATATAAGTGTTTAACCATGCATGTTTTGTGTGTCACCTACTCACCTTGCTAATATTGTACATAAGTATATTTCATTTTTGGTAACTTGATACTTAAAAGCACTTTTTTGAAAATATTCTAAATACGAAAAAACAAATGAAAGCACTTTTCAAATAATATGGTCAAAAACAAATTGTTATTCATGTTGAACTTTTTTTTAAAAAGTAATTTATTTTTAGAACAAGTTAATTTAAACAACTTATAGCCAAATATATATGCTCTCACTCAATAATAATCTCCTCCAATTTTTTTATTTTTTTTAAAAAACATGTGAAATATTTTAACAGTTCTAACAGCTTTTCATGATATATACTATAAAGTCACATCATGATTTTAGTTAAATAAGTCACATCATGATTTTATAATTAGACATTCTGTTAATCTTATTCAAGTGATGGATTGGTACGTATGATTGAATTAAATAGCAAAAGTCTTTTTATGTTGACTTTCTGACTTTTTCAACCAAAACTTAAAGAATTTAGTGGTGGTTTGATATTAGAATAGTACTGAATATAATATAAAGATAATATCTAATATTGCTAATGACATAATTTTAAAAATAGTATGGAATAAGGTGTATATTTAATATATATCGTAAATTGAAACACTATCAAATAAGAGACCAAATAATACTAAATTTGATATATATATATATATATATATATATATATATTATTTTATTTTTCTTCTTCTAATTCCTCCTGCCAAACAATCCCCTAGAATAAATACTATTTTTTTTGTCCCAATTTATATGACATACTTTTTTTATTCAGTTAAAAAATGATATATTTATATATTTAATAACAATTTAGCTTTAAAATATGCATTTTATCCTTAATAAAATGATTTATCCATACTGTCATATGTGACTTATTTTCAACCACAAATTTTAAAATATTTTTTCTTTCTTAAACTCAAAATCAAATAAAATTACATCACATAAATTAAGATAGATGAGTATTACAAAATATTTTATGATAGGAGAATATAAAATATCATGATAGAGTGGTACCACACATATTTGCTGTTAGTCCATTTGACCTGTTCAAACTTATAGTAACTTAAATAACAAGTTATTAACAGTTGTGATTAATATAGTTTATTAGGTTGACATAACCTTTTATTAATATATAATTGAAAATTTACATAATTAAGTATGGGTGCATGCTTGGTAAACATATGGCACTGACTCAACTGACTTGTATTCTAATCTTGATTTCTTCTTCAATGATATACAAAATTTTAGATTAGGTAAATTAAAATTTTTAACATATCAACAGCCCATAATATATTATTATAAAAAATAAAGGAAGTATGAGATATAGTTTACAATTTTCTATTTGTTAAAAAAGAAAGGAAGCTGGGACATCAATGTCCCAAAAGTATGACTGAAGGTATCTGCATATCATTTACGATAGTTCATCGGTATATTTGTTCTTTTTCTCTATATAAAATATGCATAATTTTTCTCATAATTAATTCATGTATTAATAATACATGCATAATTCTAGTAGACTATCAAACAATTTTAACTACTTTCATTTACCCCAATATAACTTGATTAATCAGAGGATCAATAATGTTCTGACTTATTTTCTGCGATTGTGAATTATGCAGCATATATTGTGATCAAACGTCTGCAGTCATTTACATGATCTTGTTTGTATGGTTGTTATCCGCTGTATTGTATTGTTCGTTCATACAATATTTATTTCAATAGTTACTTAAACTTTATTATAATAGATCATTTAAATTCATTGTTAGGTTACCACGAAAAATACCATTTTTGTATAAGGATCAATTTAATGTGATCACGTCGTTTAAATTGATTGTATGCAGCACTTGACCTATTGAAGAATGTTGAAGTGGAAGCCATAATAGGTCCAATTTCATCAATGCAAGCAGATTTCCTCATCAATTTAGGCCAAAAATCACAAGTTCCAATCATCTCCTTCTCTGCAACGAGTCCATCAATTTCATCATTCCGCAATCAATATTTTGTTCGTACAACTCATAACGATTCATCTCAAGTAAAACCTATCAGTTCAATAATCCAATCATTCGGATGGCGACAAATCGTACCAATTTACATCGACAATCAATTCGGAGAAGGAATAATCCCCTTTTTAGCAGATGCATTGGAAGAAATCAACACTCGTATACCTTATCGAAGTGTAATTTCTGAATTCGCCACTTTAGATCAGATCAAATCTGAGCTATTGAAATTGATGAATATGCAGACTAGGGTTTTTATTGTGCATATGCCGATTTCACTCGGATCGAAGCTTTTTGCAATGGCGAAGGAAATTGGTATGATGAGTGAAGGTTTTGTTTGGATTGTTACAGATGCAATGGCGAATCAACTGAATTCGATGGATGCTTCGGTTATTGAATCTATGGAAGGTGTTATTGGGGTGAAACCTTATGTACCGAAGAGTAAAAAAGTTGAGGATTTTACTCAGAGATGGAAGATCAAGTTTCGAGAAGAAAATCCGAGGATTGTTGATGTGGAATTGGATGTGTATGGATTATGGGCTTATGATTCTGCTACTGCATTAGCCATGGCTGTGGAGAAATCGAGAATCAGTGGCGCCTTTTTTCGTAAACCAAATGTTTCAGGTAAGAGTGGCAAATGGACGGATTGGGTTAAATTTTGAGCATAATATATAAACATGATCCTTAACTCGGCTAGCGGACAACTATGTCCTCCAACTTTGACTGTGCACAAAATACAAATAGACACTTAAACTTGTATAAAATTGAACAAGTAGACACACGTGTCTTACATGACATAGGACGCAACGTAGGACACAAAATTGTCATGTAGGACGAATAATGTGTTTATTTGTTCAATTTTATACCAGTTTAAACGTCTATTTGAGTACACTCAAAGTTAAAAGGTCATAGTTACCAGTTGGAGCCAAGTTAGGGGTCATGTTTATATATTATGTTTTTTTCTTAACAAAATAAATTTTGTCTCGCAAAAGCTTAGTCAAATACACTACGAGTCAAGTTTAATTATAACCAGTTATTTGATATATTTTGACCCAATTCAATCCGACCAAATCACACTTAGCGTGAATCGGATCATATGAACCTTTAATCAATTTTGAACCCATTTTAACGTTAAAATTTAAGCATAATACATAGATATGCCCTTTAACTTGGACTCAAATCATATTTATGCCCTCCAATTTTGAATGTACACAACTAGACACTTAAACTTGTATAAAGTTGAACAAATAGACACACATGTCCTATGTGGCATCCTACGTGACAATTTGTATCCTACATGGTGTCCTACATGTATTATGCCACATATGATTCATGTGCTTACTTGTAAAACTTTATACAAGTTTAAGTGTCTACTTGTGCACACCCAAAGATGGAGGACATAAATGCAAAATAAGTCGAAGTTAAAGGGCACATTTATATATTATGCCTTTGATAAACTTGATCAAGTCAACAAATAGGTTGTAATGCAACCAGTTTAAACTTGAGCAGATTCAGTTGGTGGGCTATGTTGCTCGGACTCTTCAAAAATGTCACAAAATACATGTTAGCTCCTTCAAAAGTAGTGCATTTTTTAAGGATCCAACATGAGTGCGGCAACATTTTTTGACACCTCTAAAATTTTCAGGAAATGCAACAGATCTTGAAGCTTTTGGAGTTTCGAGGGATGGTCCAAAGCTTCTTAAAGCTATACTAAACACTACTTTCAAAGGCCTTAGCGGAAACTTTCAACTTGTGGATGGACAATTGCAATCTCCACCTTATCAGATCATCAATGTTGTTGGTAATGGTGCTAAAGAAATTGGATTTTGGACAAGAGAAAATGGCGTTGTTAGAAAACTGAATTCTAGACGTGGATATTCTGTTTCTAAGGAGAATTTTGGATCCATTATATGGCCTGGTGACACTACTTCTGTTCCTAAAGGTTGGGTGATACCAACAAATGGGAAGAAACTGAAAATTGGAGTTCCAGTGAAGGATGGTTTCACCGAGTTTGTGAAAGTTACAAGAGATCTTACAACTAACACAACGACAGTTACTGGATACTGCATCGATGTTTTTGATGCAGTGATGGAAGCATTACCATATTATGTTCCTTATGAATATGTTCCTTTTGCTGCTCCTGATGGAAAGAGTGCAGGAGATTATAATGAACTGGTTTATCAAGTATTTCTTGGGGTAAATTTCTCTGACTCCTCTACTATCGACTTTTAAGTTATATATACTGATAATGCGAAGAGATCTTATAGGGAAATATATATTGCACTTGTATACTTTGATGATTCTTACGTGCTACAAAGATTAACCGATGAACAGAACTTTGATGTTGTTGTAGGGGACACTACCATTGTCTTGAATAGGTCACAATTTGTAGACTTTACATTACCATACACGGAATCTGGAGTTACGATGATGGTTCCAATCAAAGATGATAATAGAGATAATACATGGGTATTCTTGAAGCCATTGACTTGGGAGCTCTGGCTAACAAGCTTCTGTTCTTTTGTTTTCATTGGCTTCGTCATTTGGCTACTTGAACATAGAGTAAATGAAGACTTCAGAGGACCTTTTTGGCATCAAGTTGGCATGATCTTTTGGTTCTCCTTCTCAACTATGGTCTTTGCACAGAGTAATTTCCCTTTCCTCCTCTTGAATTAGTATCAATGTTATCAAAGGCGCGCTGAAGCCCTGAAGCGAGGCTCAAAATGTGTTGAGCGCTCTGCCTTGTGCACTTCAGTGTCACTTTTCTTTGCCAATCAAGAGACGACACTAAACAATTGATATTTCACATTATCATAAAAAAAAATTGTCATTCATGCTTATAATCATTAGTCTTTCACTAAACACATATACATTTGTATATTTTTGCTCCCTTTGCACCTTTTGTCATTAAACCCCACACTATATTTGTGCTTTGCACTTAAAGCCCTACACACCTTAGAGCTTTTTGCTTTTGATATTACTTCTTAGCACTTCCCATTTTGCCTTTAATGACAATGTTCTCATAGACATAAGATATGTCATGGTATGTTTAGAAGACCATAAGTTGTCACTTTTGGTATGTACCAAAAGTCTTTCTTTCTTAAACTTCATGTCCAGTCAAATATAACCATTTAAAATGATACAGAGGGAGTACACACATACACTCACACACACATACACACACTCTTCAATTTGAATTACCTTTTGTTCTTATGTATAATATATGCTTTAGATTTCTAACCTGAAATTTCTTCTTTTTGATTCTTGATATTGACAGAGGAGAGGATCGTAAGCAATTTGGCGAGGTTTGTATTGATCATCTGGTTCCTAGTGGTACTCATATTGACTTCAAGCTATACAGCAAGTCTTACATCAATGTTAACAGTTGAAAAACTCCAGCCAACTGTTAAAGATGTAAAAGAACTTCTGAAGAGCAAGGACTATGTGGGCTACCAACCGGGTTCTTTTGTAGTAGGACTATTACGAAAAATGAACTTTGATGAGGACAGGCTTAAGGCATATAAGACTCCAGAGGAATGCGTTGATTTACTCGCTAAAGGAAGTTCAAATGGTGGTATTGCTGCTGTTTTCGATGAGATTCCTTATGTGAAGCTTTTCCTTGCAAATTATTGCTTGAAATTTACCACGATTGGACCTACGTATAAGACTGATGGCTTTGGATTTGTAAGTAACTCTTCCTTTACTTGATATTCTTTCTGGTATAGTACTCCACATATATATATATATCTATGTACGATGTTGAAAATGTTGGATTCAGTTGAACGTCTTAGCTTTATACTCTATTACCTCACCTTTTTCGATCAAGAAAGTTCCTTCCACTAACAGTAATATTATGAATTATATTCAGGCCTTCCCGATAGGATCTCCTCTAGTACCTGATGTTTCGAGAGCAGTGTTGAATGTGACAGAAGGTGAAAAGATGGTACAAATAGAGAGAGCATGGTTTGGTGAATCTACATGTTCCGATTCTAGTACATCACTCTCCTCCAACAGTCTTGGCCTAGATAGCTTCTGGGGACTCTTTGTCATGGCTGTAATTGCTGCAGTTTTGGCTCTCGTCATCTTTCTAACGAAATTCATACATGAGCATTGGCACATCATAAGACGATCTAATCTTTCATTGCGCGAAAGAAGCAGAATCTTGGCCAGGAAGTTTGACACAAAGGACTATAGTTGTCATACTTTCAAGAAAAGTGAACTAAGAGATGTACTAGCAGATTCAACACATGATTTAGATTGTTCGCGGAGTCCTCATGGTAACTTGTCATCGTTACCTTCTCCACGAACTATTGGACCACCAAGTCCAAGCAATTCTAGTCATACAGAGCAGATGTTACATTTTCCAGGGGAGGAAGGAGATTCACCTTCGCGTGGCGAGAATGAAGCAGTTAATGGTCAAGTAGAAATGGTTTAAGATGTTTTTTTAGTATTAGTAAGCCTCTAACTTCACTCTTCCTTAGTATTGAATCATCCCCTTACCTATAATAGCTCCACCCCTGTATTTATGTATACATGTGCTATCATTTACATTGTATAAAGGATGCAAGTGTTTGATTTTAAAATATACAGAATGTGTGTGTGATTGTTCATATTACATGAGTGTTTAGAGTAAATTTACCCTATTTTGCATTTGTGAAGTCTCATCACTTAAGGGACATTCGAAAAATTGGAACTCTTTCAATGACAACAGGTAGTTTAAGTTCAATGTCAGTCGGATTTCTAAGCACTAATCTTTCCTTCTCACCTGCTAACTCATAGAAAGAAATAGAGTCAACACATGCGCCTTTCGCGGGGTGAGCAAAAAGTCTTTTCTTGGATCTTGGTATGAACTCAAAAAAAGATTAATTGTCAAATCTCCAGCAATGCCAAAAGGCATGATATTTTTCTTATTCTTTTACTTATACTGTATAGAAGCATGAAAAAGGATTACTTATTCAACATGGCTGTTTAAAGTTATTAACATTGGCATTGAGGGTATCTTAGTCATTTTCATGGATTTTCGTGCATTTTTTTTTAATTAATAGAATTGTTTTGTGTAGACATGGACTCATGGTGCTTACCATTGTTACTTTTTACTGAGCGATGCCATTTTCAGGGGCGGAGCTAGAAGTCAAGGTACTGGTTTGGCTGAACTCGGGAGTTTTAGTTCAAATTCAGTATTTGTGTTAAGAAACTCACTAAATATGTATACAAATTCAGAACCAAGTCACTAACACTTTATATCGCTATCCTATAATTTAGAATCCAAAAAGTTCAAATTCTAGCTCCATCTTTGTGCCTTTTTATTGTGAAATGTTCATGAACATCAATATTATTGTCATTGTCAAGCTAACGTTGGATGTTGTTTCGATCATATATAGGTGACAATAATTAGTACATAATAAACTCACCAAATATTTTTAGTCACATTGAAATAAATCATTGTGTATAATCAACTCTCTTTATGGTTATTGCGCTTACCTAAATGTTCGATTAAAATAGTTTAATTGTTACGTTTTTTGGTTTTTGGAGAGATTATTTCACCTAATTAATGATTCTAATAATTGCATGGACATGAATATTGTACATTTCAGACCAACGTCATGTTGGCATAATCAACATCGAAGGGATTTAAAAAGTTATAGTTTGTTCAAGATCAGGTGTCTAGTTCATAATACACGTTAAAGGCTAACATATATAAAATAGGGCAAATACAAATGTCAATCGATTTATGTATAAGATTTTATTTAATGAGCATAAATAAAAATTGAAAATATAATAAAAAGAGCGAATGAAAAATAAAGAAAGTTAGTACTCCTTCTTTACTTTAGTAGACAGATAATTTTGAAGATACTTAGCACCTTCTATTAATGGCAATATCTTTACGCATGTGCGACAGGTGAATAGATAGGCAAAGATGAAAGTAGAGAGGCCGAACTGGTTGCCAGAGAATTGAAACTTCAAAACGAAACTTCGCACCTCTGGAGCCACTATAGGAAATATTGATAAATATTATTAAGAATCATTCTCCGAGGAAAAATTTCCTTCAAAGAATGAGGTGCTTTATCGATAATTCCGACAGTGACTCTAGAAATGTGAATTTTTATTTCAAAGTTTCAATTCTCTGAAAAGCAGCTCAGCCTCTCTACATTCACCTTGCCGATCTATTCACCTATTGCTTCCTTCATTTGGGTTTACCCTATTTACTTAGAAGGTCCTATTTATAGTTTGCCAAGTATCATCTGAATTAAAGAAATCTGATCAATGCAATTAATTTTCTTTCCATTATTAAGTAAATATATATATTCTACTTAATTTATTCTTATTGTCTAGAAAATACAATGAACCTGGTCAATTTCTTACTAAAATTCTTTTTATTTTATAATTTTCCTTTTCTTTCTTCTAGAAAACATTGATTATTTTTCTAAAGAAATCTGGTCAATGCAATTTATTTTATTTCTCTTATTAAGTGTGTGTGTGTATATATATATATATATATATATATATATATATATATATATTCTACTTAATTTAGTCTTATTGTTTAGAAAATACAATTAATCTGATCACTTTGAATAGGATTTCTTACTAAATTTATTTTATTTTATAATTTTCTTTTCTCTTCTCCAAAAATCATAAATTATTTTTTAAAAAGTTAATAAATGAAAAACAATCTAAAAGGGCTTCAGAGATCATTTTGCCCTAGTCAAAGATTTGTTGTAGACGCTTGAATTAGCATACCAATATTGCTAAGTTATTAAATTATTTTCTTAGAAAATAAATCTACAAACTGTATTTGAAATTTGAAATTATAATCAAATATATAAAACAAGATGAGTAAATAAATTTGAACAGAAGTGTCAAGTTGAGAGATAGACATTTGTCACTTCAGCATGCCCTCTTGTTCTTTATTATGTTCTTGTTCTATTCTAGTAACAAAGACATTGAGACTTGTATTTATCTTTCCATTCTGTTGTAATATATTAGTGGTTTGTACACGTGACAATCAAGTTTTGGGGGTATTATGAGATTGACTCTAAGTATTCCGCACTTATGTTATTGATAGTTTATTTTCCACATTTCTATCGTATTTTTGGGTAAGGTTAACTTGTCTTGATGGGATAAGACGAGTGTCATCACATCCATTTTTGGGTCATACACTATCCCTTTAGAATAACTAATGTTCTCATCACCCTTAGAAATTATTTGTCTTCTCGATGAAAAAGAGGCCCTTTAACATACAATTTAGGGTTCTAAAGTTATTTTCCAGTTGTAACAATTTTTCAACCGTAATCATTTCAAAAACATAATTGTTTCTAAAACATGTATATATCAGGTCTTCTTTCCACAAAAAAGACTCCTGGTTTCATTAAATTCTACTTATTTATTCATGCACAATAGGGATCATATATTGCTGAATTAATCTTTATCATCATGATAAATTATGAATTACTTCATTAAAAAATTGTAATTGCACTTAGTTCAATTTCAAAAATATTCTTTTAGACATTATTTAACTCCTCACGTTAGGATTCAGATGTTAATCAATCAAATTAAATTATCAATAATTTAATTAATTTATTATTTATTAAAAAATTTGCATGACTTATTTTGTGTGTTAGATGTAAAATTCACATGCAGAGTTTACCAAGAAAAGTTTAAGAGACATGAATTTCATCAACTAATTATTACTTCATCAGTGTATATTATATCATCAGATTTCTCAGGTATATTGACTCATAAAAGAATATCACATCTTAATAAATTAAAATAAGAAATAATATATACAACTAATAATAATTTTATCAAGATTAAAAGTATAAATATATCTGGTCAACTTATAAAGAATTTATTTTATTTAATTGGTATAAGGACTTGTGTCTATCTGGTCTATTCAATACATACAAACTGTGCTAGTACAAAAAGTTACAACTATATTGCTCTAATAATCAAAATAAATTATATTTAATCTTATAGTATAATCATATAGCGATGGTTTTTCCTACATATGTCTTATATTGTATACATAAATTTTATACTTATAAAAATTATTAATTTAATCTTCTGTGTATAAATAAACTCTATACAATAGATCATCTATTATATAAGTAAATGACATACAACAGATACATGATTCATTAAAATTTTTTTTATTAAAACTAAATGAACAACAAGTTTATGATAAATAGTATTGTCATTGTCAAGCTAACATTAGAAGTTGTATTGATCACTAGATAAATTAAATTCACCAGATATCTAATCACGTTGAGATAATCATTGTGTATAATCATCTTATATAGTTATTGCGTTTACCTCAATGTTCAATGAAAATAGTTGAATTGTTACATTATTTTTTGCAAGGACATGCATTTTATACATTTCAAAACCAAAATCATGTTGGCATAATCAACATAGAAGGCATTTATAACTTATATTTTGCTCAAGATGAGGTGTCCAGTTCATAATATAATCCATGTTAAAGGCTAGCTAGCATATATATTAAAAAAAAGCGCAAGTACAAATGTCGATAGATTTATGTATAAAATTTTACTTAACGGGCATAAATAAAAAGAGCGATTCATAAATAAAGAAAGTTAATACTCCTGTTTTACTTTAGTAGACAGATAGTTTTGAAGATACTTAGCACCTTCTATTAATGGAAATATCTTTACGCTTGTGTGACACGTGAATAGATAGGCAAAGATGAATACAGGGAGGCCAAACTGGTTGCTAGAGAATTTGAACTTTACAATGAAACTTCGCACCTCTGGAGCCACTATAGGAAAAATTGATAAATATGATTATGAACCATTCTCCGGGGAAAAAATTACCTTCAAAGAATGAGGTGCTTTATCGACAATTCCGACAGTGGTTCTTGAAATGTGAATTTTCGTTTCAAAGTTTCAATTCTCGGAAAAGCAGCTCAGCCTCTCTATATTCATCTTGCTGATCTATTCACCTATCGCTTCCTTCATTTGGGTTTACCCTATTTTTACTTAGAAGGTCCTATTTATAGCTAGCCAAGTATCATCTGAATTAAAGAAAATCTGGTCAATACAATTAATTTTCTTTCCATTATTAAGTAAATAAATATTTTACTTAATTTATTCTTATGGTCTAGAAAATAAAATGAATCTGGTCAATTTCTTACTAAAAAATCTTTTTATTTAATAATTTTCCTTTTCTTTCTTCTAGAAACATAGATTATTTTTGGGAAAATACATAAAAACCCCCCTGAACTTGGCACGAAAACTTACTTTAGTACTTAAACTACACGGGTGTTTATATACCCCCCTTAACATCTTTTATGTGAATTATTTTCAACCCTCCGAACACCAACCCAGTTGAAGGCTGGGCATTGTTACCCACGCGTGTTTTTATTGGTCCACGTCGCAAAGGGTTTTAAAAATATCTTACCCGTTTTATATAACCCAC